TCCAAGAGCAATTTGCTAACCAATCGCTGGCCAGAATGAGCGAAGCGCACTTTCACTATCGATTACTCACATGCGGAGTGTATTCGGTATCACTCCGTCTGTGACAGGAGCCGGCTCTATAGTGGAGGCATCGGCTTATGCGGCTCTGCTCCCTCCGCTGTCGCCTCGCTTCCTTTAGCGCCAGCTTCGTTGGCAACGCTGATTCTCTCCGGCCTCTCTTCAGGTTCCCCCTTATGCAACCACTGGCCTAGGTCTTATTTTCAGGGTGGGTCTTATATTTTAGCAATTCCTGAAAATAGTACTAGGTCTTATTTTCGGGGTAGGTCTTATTTTCGGGGAAACAGGGTATTGTGCTGGCAGAGAAACGGTTAAGAAGTAAACTGCAGAATAAATAGGATGGCTGTTGCTGTGACTGCCCCCTCTGTGTCTCATTATATCCTCGATATTTCAGGATTGTGTCACATTGACAAATATAGATAATACATTCCGCCCGTGACGTCAAGACTGCCAGCTATTGTAGTGGGGTAATGATGCTGGGGGAGGGGGTAAGACAATGTGAGAGGGGCAGGAAAGAAACACAAGGGACCCAGGCAGGCTGACTGGAGTCCAGTATAGACAGAGTAGACAGAGGTACCGTAGGGCCAGAGAGCATGATGGGAGTATCTGCTATTGTACTGCCTATTGAAGATGGGGGTTGGTTGTCTTACAGGCTTTTCAACCAGAAGAACTGGCAAAATGTGTTGTTTTATATTCCAGATTTCTAATGATAATTCTGTGTGCCATTGTCTAATAGGAACTCAGCTATGTATCTGTTTCTGCTCTGCTCCTGTATTAACTATAATGTCATTTGGCATCTGACAGTCACCTACAGTGATGGACATAACTGATGCATGTGGGTACCATCTTCCTTCCCTATGCTTACAGACAAGAGGAAAGGATCAGCTGGGTGATATCTGTGTGATTGTGTTTTTGTGAATTGGAAATGCTGGTTATGGCCCTCTAGGATAATCCTAAAGAGACCGATCCTTACCCAGGTGCCCTATCCAACATCAAATCAGACTGACACTTTAAACCTGTCATGAGATAACCAGAGAAACCTCCATTGTTACGCTGGCCATACACCTATATACTCTCTGCAGATTTTCTATGGTTAGATGGAAAAAGTGCAACAGATTCCTCCATCTACGCTAAACTGTGTGGATGGAGGAATCTCCCACTGGGCCATGCTTCAGTATCTTGCTAGTCGGCCCCGCCTGCTCCCAAAATACCTGAACAATTTGATTGGATGCAGGCATTGTTCAGGTGTTTTGAGAGCCAGTGGGGCCGACTAGCACGATACTGGAGCTTGGCCCAGTGGGAGATTCCTCCATCCACACAGTTTAGCGTAGATGGAGGAATCTGTTGCACTTTTTCCATCTGACCATAGACAATCTGCAGATAATCTATAGGTGTATGGCCAGCTTTAGAGTCTCCTTCTGAAAATATTAGTTGCCTGGCTGTGATGCCAAAGCACTGACATCAGTCAATCACTGACCTGGTGCAAGGGACAACAATTTATATACCCCAATGGGACCTTTAAATGCTAAATCAACACACATTGGGGTATATAAATCACATCATCACATAGGACGTATTTGATAAAATACTCTGCATTGACCACAAGCTAACTGTTAAAAAATGTATGAGATAAAAATACATTGTAGGTCAAAGCTACATGAGCATTAGACCAATTTGGATTTCTTCAATACATGTTCTCCGCGTGTGTGACCCTCACGATGTATTCCTATCACCCTATTCATAAACATCTGCAGATGTCTCCATTTCAACAACACAGATTCCAATAGTGAGATGAATGTAACGTTCTCAACGCGTTTCGCAGACTACCAATCTGCTTCCTTAGGACACAAAGGAGGTATATACGATTATAATGCCACAGTCAGTCACGCAGTCAACCAAAGAAAAACCTAAACCGCAACACGGGAAAGAAACAAGCAGGGATATATTGAGGGAGCCCATGAACCTCAAAGAACAGCATCTAACTCTGGTTCCTCAGGTAGCCATAGTCCATAGATAGGTTTCATACTGCAAACTTTACATCTCAGGAGAACTCAAACCATCTAGTGGGTTAATTAGATCCTTGGTTCTCAACTGGTGGGTCGTGACCCCGTGTTCAGCGGCTCACTACATGCCTTCCACTTTTCCAGGTCAGAGGCTTCTCAACTTCCCACTGTCAGTTCTCGCGCTGAGCAGCCATTTCGAATATGCTGTCTGGCAGCGAATGTCGGCTTGAGGTGAGGTGGGCTGGAGCTATGGCTGCAAGTGTGCTCCATCCATACATGCATTGCTTACAGCTCCCTCACATGTCCTGTAGAGGTGCCTGGACCGGATTGACGTCACATTCTGGCTGCCAGCACCTCTACAGGGCGCGCAAGGGAGCTGTACAAGCAATGCACATATGGATGGAGCTTTGTCACAGCACAGCAGCCCACACTGGACCCCAAGCTGAGGATCCATTCCAGTTCTCATAAGGTAGGGAGGATCTTAAAATCTTTAAAAAAAATGGAGTGTGTATGTGTGCGTGAGATTGTTCCTGTGGTTGTGTGTGTCTGTCAGTGTTTTTCAAGGCCCGTTCACACTAGTACAGTGCATTAATCGAACAGTCCTGTGCAGTTAATGCACTGTACCATGCAATTGCACCGACTACGTGCCCTTGTGTGCAAGGTGTGTTGCGTTGCCATACATTTGAATAACACTCCAAACACTCCATTAGATCATACCTAACTTCACATATTCAAACATTGGGGTATACGATTTGTATCATAGAAGTGCATAACATCTTCAAACGGATTCAATAGAATGTTAAGGGGAGTGTGCACGGAGATGCAAAATATCCCGATTTTTCAGCCTCAAAAGACGAATGAGCAGAATCAACTCATGATTGATAATGGTCATAGGGACAAACCTTCTGATAAGTAGGCTTATTGAGCGCATTCTCTTAACGAGGTGGGAGTCATACTCCTTCTGCAGCTTAATACTTATGTAGCTCTGACCTACAATGTATTGTTTTCTTATTTGTTTTATAATCGTTGGGTTGTGATCAATACAAAGTAAATTTTATGATATATGTCATATAAAGGCATGATGATTCAGCGTCTAAAACATCCCATTTTGGTACATGAGTTGCTGTCCCCTGGATGTAACTGGGATGTGGTCCTTTGATCATTCAATCTGTCAAGTCTACCTTTTTGTACAGCATTACCTCGGAGCAAGTATGCAGGTCACAGAAGTCCTTATCTAATACTTACCTGTTTTCATGCAAAGAAGCCAGCATGACATCCAGGCAGTTACCATCTGGTGCATTGTAATGTTGGTCTGCAGGCAGACATTAAACACATAATAAATGAACCTCTGTAATCATTAAAACATAATTAAATTTAGGTTTTAAAATGCAAACATCCAATACCTGAATTTGACTTGCTTTTGGCCTCTTGCATGAACTGTACAGCAGAACTCTGACTGGGGGAGGGATGTGTGATATAATACAAGGAGCACGCGGATAGGAGGAAAGAGATGAGCTCATCAGGATGTTGCTTCTCTTTTCACTGTCCAGTCACAGGGAGGGGGTGGGGAGGGGACCTGTAAGTGAAACTGTAGCAGAGAAAGATCAGGTACCTTGTCTTGCCAGACAGTGCTGTGCTGTAGGGCAGTTATGTGCAAATTTTACGATTGGATGGACAGAAATACAAATCCTTTGGCAGGTAAAACAGCTCTCATATATGCATTTAATTTGTGTGTTTAGTTGTTTGCCTGGAGTTCAGCTTTAAGCCTTCATTAGCCTAATATGGCAGCTAACATTGGACCGATACGCTGCACTTAGTTTGACCGCCATGTCAATTCAATGTATAAGTAAAATGGGCTAACTTTAGCCCAGAGAGGGAAATCTGTGCAATTAGTGGCTCCTTCACCTAACTACAACTTATATTTAGGTTCCCCCGAACCCTCAGCCAGCAACTCAATAATGTTTTGTTGCTGGAGTCCCGCGCCTGTGTTTTCATATGTAACCCTCGCGGGATCAAGTCTCAGAAGTTGATTCTTGTAATAACAGGCTGTGAGAGGCACAAATTGCTGTTTTATTGTTGCCGATGTGTTTTTCCGAGTTGTAAGCCCGCGCTCACCCCCTCTGATTACAGCTTTTCCTCGCGAGTAGGCGGGGACCACCGGACGCCACCACAGAGCCGTTCTTCGGCTGCTATTTGTCATGCCGCGGCGGCACTAATCACCCGCACACTTTGATTTCACGTCAGTCCAATTTCCTGTGTCACTGAGTGACTGGTCAACCGGACCTCTGCAACTTAAACCCTGAATTATCCTGCCTGCCGCACACACCAAAGTTTGTAGAAAACCTGTAATCGCTGCTCGCAAGTCACCGAAGCCAAGAAAGAAAAAATAGCATGGGGAATACGTAAAAATATCCACCGAGTTAAAGGAAAATTTCAGTCAAAGTAAAAATAGGGAGCAGTCTGGTGAAGTGAACCTTACATCACATACAGTCCTGGCCAAAAGTTCTGAGAATGACACAAATATTCATTTTCACAAAATCTGCTGCTTCAGTTTGTATGACGGCAATTTGCATATATTCCAGAATGTTATGAAGAGTGATCAGATCAATTGCAATGAATTGCCCTCTTTGCCATTGAAAATGAATTTAATCCCCCAAAAAACAAGGCTGGATACCACTCTGTCATGCTGATTGAGTTAGAATAACAGACGGGAAGCTTTAAAAGGAGGGTGGTGCTTGAAATCATTATTCTTCCTCTGTTAACCATGTCTGAATGAGACATGCACTATTTTTCTGGTCTGGTCTGGAATGGATTGCGCGGTGCGAACAGAGGCCAGAAATAGCATAGGGATACATTAGGATGCATTTTGAGTCCGGAAACAATCTGTTCTGGAGATGATCTAGATGTGGTGTGAATGGGCCCTCCAGGAAAAACATCAGGGACAGACTGATATTATGCAAAAGGTACAGTGATTGGACTGCTGAGGACTGGGGTAAAGTCATTTTCTCTGATGAATCCTTTTTCCGATTGTTTGGGTCATCTGAACGCTTTTTTCTCCTCAGTATACACTCAGGAGGGAAACGGGTTTGACACACATGATAAAACTCCCAGTTTAACTCAAAATATACCCCAGTGGTTTACGGAAACCAGAATACAACAAAGACTTAAAATGCTCAATGCAAACAAAGCAGTGGGTCCGGATAACACCGGAGAAGAAAAGGTGAGCGCTACCATCAGTCTGGTGTCATGCCAACAGTAAAGCATGCTGAGACCATTCATGTGTGGGATTGCTTCTTAGCCAAGGGAGTGGGCTCACTCACACTTCTGCCTGAGAACACAGCCATGAATGCAGAATGGTACAAAAACATCCTTCAAGAGCAACTTCTCCCAACCATTCAAGAACAGCTTGGTGATGAAAAAATGCCTTTTCCAGCATGATGGAGCACCTTTCCATAAGGCAAAACTGATAACTAAGTGGCTCGAGGAACAAAACATCGAAATTTTGGGTCGATGGCCAGGAAACTCCACCAGACCCTAATCCCATTTAAAACTTGAGGTCAATCCTCAAGAGGTGGGTGAACAAAAACCCCCCACAAATTCTGATAAACTCCAAACATTGATTATGCAAGAATGGGCTGCCATCAGACAGGATGTGGCCCAGAAGTTGACTGACAGCATGCCAGGGCGAACTGCATAGGTCTTCAATAAGAAGGGTCAACACTGTAAATATTGACTCTTTGCATAAACTTAATGTAATTGTCAATAAAAGCCTTTGACACTTATGAAATGCTTGTAATTATACTTCAGTATACCAGAGTAACATCTGACAAGAAGATCTTAAAACATTGAAGCAGCAGACTTTGTGAAAATTAATATTTGTGTCATTCTCAAAACTTTTGGCCAGGACTGTGTACGGTACTTCCATGTTGAGTGCATCCTAGGTAATGCACACATTTAAAACTAACATTTATTAGCTCTTACAGAGATCGCCATACTACCCCTGACATCTGCTTTTCTCTCCAGAAGGACAGCACCATCTTTGTTAACACGTAATACAGGGCCAGCATCTTTTTCCTGATTCTGGCTCAGAGGTGACACAGTCATGTAAATACTATGAGTCCATGTGAGAGTGCTAATACACAACCCTTATCTGTGTGTTCCCGCCCCCTTTTATGACATCACATTGATTGACAGTACAAAGTAAAAGAGGTTACTTTTCTCCAGTATTGTTCAGTCCTATATAGATACGATGAGAAGGAAGGGAGAGCATGCAAAGGAACATTGCACCATACTAGTCTTTAGTAGAATACATTTGGTGCAATAGTTTAAGACGTGGTATTTTTAAGGTACAAACTTAGCCATGCTGGAAAATTAATTCCTCATAATCAATTAAAAAGAAACATAATTTGTCGCACTTGCAAAAATAACGATGCCATAAAAATGAACCACAACATAATCCTTATCCTTAAGAAAGAACTCCAAGTTGTAGAGAAAGTAATCCTTGCAGTGGGGCTTCCCCCGCACTGCAAGGGTTAACTGCTCTTTTTTCTTTAGGGGCTCAAATTAAGAAGATATACTCACCTGATCCTCGGTGACAGGATGTGGCAGTGACCGCTCACCTCTCTCCTCTTCCTCTTTGGATGTGGAATGTCTGCTCCTTCCTCAAGTCTAATGCAGGTGAATGAACTGCATAAGATGTGATGACATCAGCGGAGGGGAAGAGGCTATGGGGATCGGTGTAGGAGCCAGGCAGGATCGAGGATTGGGTGAGTATTTCTTCTTTATTTCTAAATCTCCTGAAACAACAGTCACACAGACTTATATCTCACACACTGCAGATACATGGCAATATGGCTGTAGACACAGGAGTGCCTAGGCACACTCTCACATCTGGAAGTGCACTGCTATTTTTAAGGAGGAATTCCAGACAAGAGGTATGTTTTTCAGGGTACAGCTCTGGTGCAATTACCATTTCTAGGTGTTTCCTATAGCAAATCTTCACTTATTAAGTGTAGGTCCACTTTAACCCTGAACTTAACCAATCTCAAGCAAGATTTACAAGAATAAATACACCAATGCAAAGGTTAGTAACATCCTTAGGGTTAACATACACATAGAAGTCTCCTTTTCACATATTACCCTATTTTAAAAACATTGTTGTTTAAAGAGCTCAATAGCTGAAGAAGTGAGAGCAGTGACCTCTCCCTATTCCATGCACACTGAGAAATTCATGAGAAACAAATTGCCTGTAAGGAGATAACTGCTGCTGTGCTGTCTCTTTAGCTACCCCATTGTGGGAATCCTCTGTCACGTATTAATATTTGTTTGTAAAACAAAGTTTGTCTATAGATATATAGAGCCAATAACACATTTGCAGCAGCTATGCCTTTAACAATAAGAATGAATAAAAAAATGAGAAATCCATATGCACACTTTTTGTTCCGTACAATCAGAGGTTTTCCTGGGCTTCCCTGCTATAATTATTCCTAATCTTAGTTTTTGGATGTGTCCATTAGCAAGGGATGCGCAGAACATTTTTTTTTCTTTTAGAATCACTTTTAATTAAACCTATCCCATTGACTTAGCAGAAGCTGCACACTCCTGGGAGTCACGACACGTAGCATGCACGACATTTGGAATAATAGTTACCTTGTATGCACCTTGCGAGTATGTGATTGTGTAATTTCAATTTTTAGTATGTTGTTACCAATACGTGCAGCATTAACAAAATGTAAAATTTGGCAACATAGTGTCCTTATTTCTGTCTGCTTGAACCTTTCGTAAATGTTATACGGCCCTCTTCTATATGCAGAACTGTCAGTTGAGTTTCCACCTGTCCATTTTTATTATATCCCATCTCTGGGCAATTTCTTTAGTTTTTTTAATGGCATTGATTAGTTAGAGAGGCATGATGGGAGGAAGGTATGTGTGGTAGGCAGGATGCTGGAGACGGGCTCTAAAGGAGTTCTAAAATCACAGCATATGCTGTTCTGTTATAACATCAGCATTGTAAGAGGAATACAGACTAGAGTTGTTTTTAATAATGCAATCAAAGCTTAGTTTAAAAAAATCCCTTTTATGTAGTGAGTGCTGCCTTCTGTCTGTCTATCACTTCTAATAACTTCCTGGGTTCCCAGTGTGCTTTGCATCTCTTTCCCTGCTGCTTGATGCGATGTAATCTTGATTTCTCAAGACGGCATATCCCATCATGCATTGCTTTCACCAAGCAATGATAATGTTACATATTAACAAGGCTGAGGCCAGGTTCACAGCTGGGCAATGCATGACCACACGGTCACGGAATCGCACACCACCGCTGATCGCTCTGGTGGTGCCATTATTTTTTAATTACACTCCAGTCGTACCAGGCAGATTGCGCAGTTTCCCACCGCGTTTCCACTTTCCACCCGTGCAATCGTGCATGATCACGATTGAAAAAAACACGCATTGCCGTGTGGATGTAACCACATTGAAATCAATGGGGCCGCGCGGCAACCACTGTGTGCAACCGCACACGAACGCAGGTCCCGGGATCGCTCAAATATGCACCAGCCCTGAGAGAAACTCTGTCAGTGCATTGAGGAAGTACATCCTATGGACATCCTCAATAAGTAAGTTTACAGACGTCTAAATCAATATGGTTATTAGGAGTGGGATGGCACTTAAGGAAATACAACATACAAATACATATTTATTTTTAGTTTTTGACCATAGATACCCTTCAAGTTAAAACCCCAGATTGAAAGTGTACCTTTCATTTTGGCTAGAGTAGCGAATGGTTCAAACCCCTGTTAGTATCTCTTTTGCTATATGTGTCCCTTAGGAGAGCTGTTCCTTCACTTTCTTCCTGGAGACATACTGTATCAGGAAGTGATTTCAAATCTCTCTCAAGGTGGCCATACACTGTACAACCATCGCAAGACCTTAGATAGGAAATGTCCTCTTAGACAGTTGTCACAGGCACAAGATTTCCTTTCACCTTTTTTTTTTTGCAGTGGCGAGTGTAAAATGTGTTTTTTCTTTTACTGTCTGTCCTGGAGCAATGGACACCAGAAGAGGTAGAGAAGATGAATTTTCCCAGCAGGGACATAGACATCAATAAAAGGCTAAATTATGTTCTAACCTTTCCATCCTCCATCCAGAACTAAAAAAAAGATTTGGCTAGTGGTAGACTTTAAGCATTTTTATAATCCCTCTGCCTGCCGGAATAGCTTTTCTTTAAGGTTCTTTTACGTCATGTGCAACCATCCTTGGACCTTTTCGTTGATGAGTCAAAGTTAGTAATGCCAGGTTGGTAAAAATAGTGATGTTACATAACAAATGGGTTAAAAGGGATGCTAAAGCACAAAGCAATGTACCTAGAGTGTGGAAGTGCACCATCACAGAAAGAAATCTGAAAACATACTTAAAATGAACCTGTCAAAAACCCATGTTATACACTTTAAACTCATCTTATACAGTATGTGTATTTCAGCTGTGTATTTAGCAGTTTTCCTGGAATTCAAATTGTAAATGTGTATGTGAACCTAAGATCCAAAACTGCACAGGCAACTCTGCAGTGTCACAGCCTATGTTTTTCCCCCTTCATTTATAATCTTCTATTGATCCAGCCAGTTACTTCCACTTTAAGGGGGACACAACTCACTGTTTTGGTTTTCAGAGGAAGGGAAACATAGGTATTTATGCATAATATTTTTTATTTTGTTTTATTTTACAAAACCTGGTCTTCTATTTGCCTATGCATGTACCTCACTTACATGCATTTTCCATGCTAGAGTTCACTTGTATTGTAGTATTCAACTTTAAAATGTGTTTCAATAATTAATCCACATCAAACAAATATACAATGCCCAGCAAAGTATTTATTTAAATGTTTCCCCAAATACTTCCATCATCATTTTTCTGGCTCCAGCTTTCTCAGCCCAGCTTTCCTGAACTTCCTGTTTAGTGCACGATCACAAGGGACAGAGTAATCTCCAGTATCTGTCCATCTTCTAGCTTGTAGAAGGCAGGAGGAATTAGGAGGAGGGGAGTGGTTTG